TCTCTCTCTCTCTCTCTCTCTCTCTCTCTCTCTCTCTCTCTCTCCAATGTTCTATCTCTCTAAAAATAAGCATTTAAAAATTATTATAAAAAATAAACTAGAGGAGACTTATCAATCAATTGCAGTATATGGACTTTATTTAGATCCTGATTTGAAGATGTATATACATGTATAAACACACACTGGTGACTCAACTAAGAAAATTTGAATACTTCTATATAATTGATTTTTTTAAATTATGGAGCTATTTTATTTTTTTAGGTAAAGAAATTTAAAAGGAATTGTTATATTTTGCATATATACTGAATTTTTTTCAAATGAAATCACATGATATCTGGAATAGCAACAAAATAAATCTAGAGTGAAGGAGGTAGTAAGACAGTTGGAAAAAAAAAGATTCAATGAGCTGATAATCATTGATTCTGAGTGAAAACCACATGGGTGTCATTATTGTATTCTCTCCATTATTGTCTGTATGCGAAATGTTTCATCATAAAAAATTAAGCAAGAAAATGACCAGGTTATTTTTAAAAGGTCAAGATTCACTTCCAGCCAAGAAGTAGTAAAAAAGAACAGATTTATCTTCCCACCAGAAACAACCAAACCCATACAAAATATGTGAAACAATGGTTTTGGGGCACTGAACATAAGCAACAAAAGACAGAAAACAAGTGAAGGTGCCTTGCAATTGCTTAGCTTACTGCCTTTAGAGACTTCCCAGGCCACTGTGCAGGGAAGGGGAACCCAGACAAAATCCAGAGGTCTCTATGAGTTCAGAATACAGACCCAAGAATGCTTAGAGATGAATCATCACATGCATTTGAGGAAACTACTGACAAACGAACAATTGAATATTTACATTGAAAAATACCATTCACAAGACCATCAAAATCATGAAATATTTAGGAATGAATCTTAGAATGTGTAAGGCCCACACACCAAAAACTGTGAAATATTGCTGAGAGAAAGAAGACCAAATTAACCAAAATGAAATAAATGGAGAGACATACTATGTCCATAGGTCAGAAGACTCAAATTTATTAATATGTCAACTTTCCACAAATTGATCTACAGATTTCACACAATCCTAATCAAAATCTCATCATGGTTTTTTTTTTTGTTGTTGTTAGAAATTTACAGGATGATTCTAACAGTCCTATGAAAATGCAAAGGGCCCGATATCACCAAAGCAACTCTGAAAAAGAGAACAAAGTTGGATGACTACATTATGCTATTTTAAGACTAATTATAAAGCCACCTTGTGGCTTTGGTATAAAGACAGACAGATAGATCAGTAGAATAGAATAGGGAGTCTAGAAACAGATCCACCTGTATATGAACAACCGATTTTTTACCAAGATGCAAAGGCAACTGAGGGAAGAAAGGACAGTCTTTTCAACAAATGATATTGGAACATTTGAATGTCTATTTGCAAAAAAAAAAAAAAAAAATGAACCTCAATCTTTAAAAAAAAATTCAAAATACAATATAGTTCTAAATAAGAAACCTAAAACTATGAACATTCTAGAATCCAATGTAGTTTTTGTTTGTTTGTTTGTTTCTATTAATCTCTGAGGGAGACTAAAAACCAGAGCCTTTACCTGTCTATCATGAATTTAACGTTATCTGATATGACTGGCCGTTATAAATTATGAGTTTCCAACAAGATTCAATTATCAAGTAGAAGAGTTATAAACAAAATAAGACTCAATCAGATTTTTAAAATCCAAGTGAATTTTAAGAACATTTTTTTCATCTCCCAACATGTCTTCCCAATTTTGTCATTCTGTTGTTTGTTCCTCATTGTACATCAAAGACCTCAGACGAAGTTTTTTTGTGAACATTAACAGACAAGAAAGAATCCCAAATATTTCATGGTTTTAGATCCTGGCTTAAAAGGGTCCCAGAATGACCGTGAAGAAGAAAAGCTTCACAGCAGGCAGAACTTTACTTGTTACATTAATTTTCCTATTGTGCCTGAAAGGAGAAATAACTAGAAGACCAGATCGATACTAATTTACAGTAGGAAGCAAAGGATTGTCCTGAAAGATTGAAAGTATATTTGCCCATTAGAAGCCTCATTAATGATGTCTAGTCTGGAGGAGGCCTTTTACACCTGGAGAAAAACAGAAACAAAAACAATACACTCATGGTTATCACTAGCCACCAAGGACTTCACCGGTAGTCTCACGAAAGGAATATAGTGGCAGTGTTGCTGATTATTTATGAGTTCAAAGACGTGTTCTTCCATGCACCAAAGCTAACTTGGTTATAAACCCTGCTAAGCACCCAATTTTCCAGCAGCAACCCCAAACTCTTAGCCACCATAAGTAAATAAAGCTAAGCAAACAGCCTGGTTTTTGCTACCAATTGTTAAAACAAAAACACGGCACTTAATTTAATCTGAATGTGGTTTTTTTCTCTCTCATGAAGGACATTCCCCTTTTGGAAAGAACCCCATCACTTGGAGGTCTGAGAGGAAGGGTGACAGGGAGCATCACCCTGCATTCTATGTAACATTATGATCCTGGGACCCAAATCGTTTCTGTTTGGGCTACAAATTTTATAGCTTTTTGTTGCTTGTCTGTGTGATAGAAAAGTATGCATTGTAGTTGTTAATTATAGCCCTCTCTCCTCCTGAGAACCAGGTGTGTTCCAACCTAAGGGTTGGATAAAGAAAGACTAGAATTTTTTCACGAGGTTATATTCATAATTACTATCCCATTTTGAAAACTATGGATTATTTCTTGATGAAATGAGTTATTCAGACTATTCAGTCCTTTAGGAAAGTGTCCTACTTGTACTCCCCAACTTCATATGCAATGAAGTTGTTAAATATTGTTAAATCTGTTCAATCTACCCTAACCTTTAACAAATTTCCCAAATGTGGGGGATTTCCAAGGAAGGTACCAGCTTGTAACCCTTCATTTTGCAAAGGATTTTGCTCATGTTGGGATGAGCACTGGGTGTTGTATGGAAGCAAATTGGACAATAAATTATATTTATTTAACCTATAAATATTATAGGTTATATAAAATACACCTAAATAAAGCTTTTAAAATTGAAAAAAGAAAATAACCATTATTTCCCATTGTATGGTTATAAAAATACATTTTCAAATAAAAAAATACCTCACATCAATTTATTGAGTAAATATTCATTAAGAACTTAGGTATTAAGCACTTATTTACATTAGGACACCACAGAAAAGCTTGATAACCTTGGATTAGACAAAGATTTCTTAGATCTGACACAAAAAGCATGATCCACAAGAGGAAATTTTGATAAACTGGACGTTAACAAAAGTAGAAATATCCACCCTTTGGGAGACACTGTAAAGAGAATGGAAAGCGAAGTCCCAGAGTGAGAAAAAGATATTTGCAAGCCATCTTTGTGACAAAAGATTTGTATTCAGAATACAGAAAGAAATCTCAAAAGTCAATTAGTAAAAGTGAATCTAGCAGCACAAAAATTTTAACTTCACCAAACAAAATATGTATGTAGAAAATAAGCACTTGAAAAAGTGGTCAGTGCCATGAGTCATTGAGGAAATGCAAATTAAGATTACAATGAGATATTATTACACACCTGTTAAAAATGGCTGAAATTAAAAAGACTGAGCATACCAAGTGCAGATAAGAGTATAGGGCAACTGCAGTCTCATAGACTGCTGTTAAGAATGTAAAATGGTACAAACTCTTTCTAAAACAATTTCGTGGTGTCTTAAAAGTTAAACACTTACCTGCCATATGACCTAGCCATTTCGCACTTTTGTTTCTTCTTCTTCTTCTTCTTCTTCTTCTTCTTCTTCTTCTTCTTCTTCTTTTAAATGTTTATTTATTTTGAGAGAGAGACAGAGAGCAAGCAGGAGAGGGGCAGACAGAGAGGGAGACACAGAATCCGAAGCAGGCTCCAGGCTCCGAGCGGTCAGCACAGAGCCTGACGCGGGGCTCGAACTCACAAACCGTGAGATCATGACCTGAGCCAAAGTTGGTCACTTCACGGACTGAGCCACCCAGATGCCCCACAGTTATGTATTTTCCCATAAGAAATGAAAGTGGATGTCCATGCAAAAACTTGTACACAAATTTTCACAGAGGCATTATTTATAATAGCCCAATACTAGAAACAACCCAAATTTCCATCAGTAGGTGAATGGGTGTACAAACTAGTCTATCCATACACTGGGACTCTACTCAGAAATAGAAAGGAATAAACTATTGATATACTTAATAAAATAGATGCATTGTAAAATAATTATGAACTTTGATTCCAGTAAAATTAACCCAAAATATCTTATAAAGACAAAAAATGCCCACTGTACAATGCCATTTATATAAAATTCTAAACATGCAAGGCAGTTGCTTGAGGATGGGGATGGGTAGGGAGAGGTTACAGACAGAAGGAACTTTTGGGGGCAATGGACAGTCATTATCTTTATTGTGGTAATAGTTTCATAGATAGTTACAAGGATGTACATAAGTCAAAATCTATCAAATTGTATACTTTAAATATGTTCAGCTTATTGTATGTTAATTTTACCTCAGTAAAGTTCTTTTTAAGGTGAAAACATCTCAAGTCCTTCATTCCTTTAAGTAAGTGCACCAGAAACACACACACACACACACACACACACACACGAAGAGGAAAGTAGTAGCAACAACCAGGAATACAAGTTTAAATCCCGTTTTGATTCCTTATGAACAACACACAGATCTAAAATAATGAGACTTACCTCTTCTCCCACATACGGAGACTGTAATGCTATTATGTGACTCAACTAGGTGGTGGAGCTTTACAGATTGCTGAAAAAGAAGAAAGGAAAATGGGAAAAAAGGCTTTTCTACTTGAGGAGAAGTCCCAGGTATTAATTCAGTAAAGTGCTAGTCTCTTCAAAGATAGAGCACTGACTTGTTCCCAACTGAATGCACTGGCTAAAAATGAAAGACCAAGCAGCCTATTAGTTACCTGAAAAGTCATCCAACTTGCTGTGCTGTTCACCAGCAGTAAGAAGTATGTGTTTTTTAATAGAAAGAAATTTCCCAGCATGCTCTGTTCACTCAAAGTAGTTTTTGATTAGCATAAATTTGTATTTAGTTCTTTCAGCAGAGAACATCAAGAACTTGAGTCACTCAAGATAAATGTTCATACCTAAATAGCTTTGAGAACTAAGCAAGATCTCAGTTTTGAGTTATTCCACATCAGAGTTCTTAATCTGTAACTTTATAAGGAGTTTTAGTGGTGCCTACTATTCCTCATAGTATACATTGTTTTCATAGATGAAATACACAGGACGTTGAGAGTGAATCAATAAGAGGATAAAAAAGAAATATACAATAAAATTACATTTGATTTCACATTTTTAAAGAAAGTGTTGTGTAAAAGAGGGGTTCCTGGGTGGCTCAGTAGGTTAAGTGGCCGACTTCAGCTCAGGTCATGATCTCAAAGATCGTGGGTTCAATACCCGCATCGGGCTCTGTGCTGACAGCTCAAAGCCTGGAGTCTGCTTCGGATTCTGTCTCCCTTTCTCTCTGCCCCCCACCCCCCCCCAACTCATGCTCTGTCTCTGTCTCTGTTTCTCTCTCTCAAAAATGAATAAACATTTTTAAAAAAGAAAGAAACTGTTGTGTAAAAGAACTATCTGGTTCTAGGGGTTAAAACTCCTAATCATCTAGTGTATTCATTTTTTTTCTTCTGATTTTGCCATTTATGACACCCCCTAAACCTTCTAGCATAAATCATTTATAAATCTGATTAATATGTCATAAGAACAATTAATAGAGTAACACATGGTGAAAGACAGTGTTCTGCTATTAATGTACCCTTTTATTCATTTTTTCATTCACTCAGCATTTATTACACAAACTCTATGTGTCAGGGACTATGCTAAGAGGTGGGGATAGAATGTTCAAAAAAAAAAAAAAAAGAAAAGGAAAAAAAAAGATATAGTTCTTACTAGCAAGGAATTTACAACCCACTGGGAGAAATATATTTAATCAAATAGTCACAAACGTAAATGTATCATTACAATCAATAATTTTAAAAAAAGGTATGCTTTTGGAGCATATACAGCCCATAGAAGCAATAATAGAAAACCTCCCTAAATAAGTGACTTTGAATCAAATCGGTTGTTGAATCTATGAGTCTCAAACTCACAAGAAATGTTTGGGCTGGAAATATATACAAATTTGAAAGTCATTTTAGAACTCATTGGTATATACAGCTATCAGAACAGTGAAGAATCTCTCAATATACACACATGAAAAGGCCATGAAGACATACTATTATGAATAATAATAAAGCAAGGTAGGAGATTACATAATGATGCTACCTTTTACGTAAGAAAGAAGGAAAAACAAGGTTCATATATTTGCATTTGCTTGACTTGCCTAAAAATTTCTTCTGAAGAAAACACAAGAAATAAATGTGGTTGCACAAGTGGAGGGGAAGAGAAAGATAGAACATACATTGTATATGCGGTAGAGTATACATTGTATAGTTTGCACATTGTTTTGCTTTTGAGACACTGCCTCCCCCACAAAAGGCCACTAGAGGAGGATGAACTATAAAAAGAGATTGAAAAAGAGCAACTAGAGAGGATGGAGAGTGTGTTGTCTCTGAAGTCTAAGGGAAAGAGCCCGTCAAAAAGAAGCAACGGAGCAGTTAACTATCAAATGCAACTGAGAAGTTTAATAAAAGCTGCAGCGTGAAAAAAAAAAAAAATGTCCGCGGTAGGAGGGGGACCATGAAATCAACAAACAAAAGACCAACAGTCCAATAAAAATTAATGAAGGACACGAATACAGTTCACAGTGAAAGAAATGCAAATAGCTTAGGACATGAGCAAGTACTCAACTTGTAATAGAAAACATGCTGTTGAAGTTATGCAATTCTATTGTCACTTATATTGGCAAAGATAAGGGAAACCAACACTCCTCTACTGTTGGGAGGAGTGTAAATTAGTATTACTTGTTTAAGATGCCTTTTGAGGATGCCTATGAAAACAATATACCTAGTTTATAATTAAGTAATTTCAGGTATAAAAATTTTATGTCTCGGGATGCCTGGGTGGCTCAGTCGGTTAAGCGTCCGACTTCGGCTCAGGTCATGATCTCACACTCCGTGAGTTTGAGCCCCGCGTCGGGCTCTGTGCTGACAGCTCAGAGCCTGAAGCCTGTTTCAGATTCTGTGTCTCCCTCTCTCTCTGACCCTCCCCCGTTCATGCTCTGTCTCTCTCTGTCTCAAAAATAAACATTAAAAAAAATTAAAAAAAAAATTTATGTCTCTATGTCAATATATATAAGCACACATATGTATACTTGTTATATCCATATGCATGTGTAATATAAATACATATAATTTATATATATTTATAAACACACATATATGTGGATGTGTAAAAAGATACATGTGCAAGAATTGCGATTGTTTTAACAGCAAAAGACTGGAAATAATCTAACTATCCATCAACATCAGACTGGTTTCAAAAATTATGGTGCATCTAGAGAAAACATATTTGGGCAGACATGAAAGATATTTAAGATATATTAGGTGAAAAATGGGAGCGAGCGCACAACAGTGCACATAGTGTTTCCATTTGTGTGAAACAAATTAGTGCCTATGTGTTTAATGCTGCTCAAGGTCATAGAACTTTTGGTCTCAGTGAATGCCTTTGGAAAGGGAACCTGGATACTGGGAGATCCAAACTGGGAGGAATATTTACTTTTTATTTATACCGTTGTGTTCTATTTGAACTTTTTAAAAATCATGTGCGTATATTACTCTTTCTATTAAGAAAAAAATAACTAGTTTAAAAAAAGGAAGTTTTTCATTTTTATTTTAAAAAGTTTATGTATTTATTTTGAGAGACAGTGAGATAGCGCGCACGTGAGCAAGGGAAGGGCCGAGAGAGAGGGAGAGAGAGAATCCCAGGCAGGCTCCAGGACCAGCTCAGAGCCCAACACCGGGCTCAATCCCACGAACCGTGAGATCATGAACTGAGCCGAAATCAAGAGTCAGATGCCCAACTGACTGAGTCACCCCAGGTGCCCCTAAAAAAGGAATTTTTTAAAAAAATTTTATAACCACCTATGGCCTTAAGATTATAGTGGTGATCTTAACAAGGGTTCTCTAATGGAGTCACAAGAGAGGAAATCAGGTCAGTATAGTGAGAAGAGACCAGGAGATCAATAAGTGACAAAAGCACTCATAAAGAAGTTTTGCTGTAAAAGGGAGAAGAGAGATAGAGTGGTAGCTACAGGTGGAAGCGGGGTCAAAAGAAATGGTTGCTTCCTTACTTGAGCACATTTAAATGCTAACAGAAAGGCCCTTGGGGGAGGGAGTGAGGAGGTCAATGAAGGACCACAGAAGCACCCTGAGCAGGTCAGAGAGGATGCTTTGGCAAGCCCAGGCAGGGGCCCTTTCTCCTCCATAATGGGAGAGCAGGGTGGGTGGGAGGCAGAAACAGAGTCCTTTGACAGTTGGAGAGTGGGGAGTTGAGCAAATTCCTGTCTTCTGGCTTCTATCTTCCTTGTGGAACAAGTGGTGAGATTATCTGCTGAATTAGAGAAGTGGACTATGAGATGAACAGGAGATCTCTCTCATGGAGAAATATTTGGTGTGAATTCTTAATTTTGAGAATGGGACAGTGCATTGACCAAGGACCTACAGAAAGCTTGCCCAGATAAGGATGGAATTCATGGATTTAGAGTGTCATCAACCAATCTGTTCTACAGGACTTTTTCCCAAAGGCACCTAGATCCCCTGGCATGGGTATAAAGAAAGCCTAGTGTCGGACTCGGGCTTTGACAAATAAGTACTGACCAACTAGAAAAGGCAAAGAGTCATTATGAAACAGACCCTTCCACCTTGCACCCTCTCCCATCATCTTCAAGATTCGACAGTATTCTCTGTACATATTTTTTCACTTATGCACAATTCATAGATATTTGTAAATTCCTCTGGCTGATCAGCCTGAATAAACTAAAGAGAGGAGGAAAAATAACTTGGAAGGTTAAGAATCAGGATGTAATAGAAGGAAAAGGACTAACGTTATTGAGTATCAATATTTGTGCTAGATATTTACAAACTTGGTCTCATTTATTGTGGAGTGGGCAATGGCTATTTCCTGATTCTTCTTTCTAACAGTATTTCAATAAAGGTCCCACTGTTCCCTTTCTGTGGCCACAAGATTGATGGGGGAAAAACTCACCTCTCTGAGGTCATATACCGTCAATGCTATGGACATGATGGACATGATTATGATGGCAAAAGCATATTCCTTATAGTCTTCACTAAACCACAAACAGACACTGAAGAGTTGAAATATGTAAAATGGATTTAAAACCTGTTGGCAGACACAAAAACAGGAAGGCAATGGGGATATTTAGTCTTCGCACTGAGCTATTCATTGACTTGTTTGCTTTCAAAAGCATCTCTGTGACACCAATCACCCCATACAATATTCTCATTCTTACTGTATTTATTCAGCAATTGTCACGTGCCAGACACTGTGCTTAGCAACTTTACTTGAATTTTCTCATTTAATTTCCATAATTACCTTATTACCCAGAAGCTATTACTTATCTCCATTGCAAAGATGGAGAAGCTGAGCCTCAGATCTCGAGATCTGAGACATGAGATGCTTGAGAAACTTGCTGAAGGTCACACAGCTGCAACAAATCACAGAGTAGGCCTTGAACCCGGGGGGCTGACCCTGGAGCACTTACTTTTAATCACTGCTGTACCTTATCATTCACAAAGTAGTGTCTCGTGGGTCCTCATGATGACCATCACAAGGGTGTAGGGTGTGTATACTATGAGGTTTAGTTCACATGTACTGGCCTTCAGAAGGGTGAAGTTTTAGTTCAGGTTTATGGAGTTAAAATGCTCTCGAGTCTGTTGTTCTTCCGTAGGACACACCATCTGCCATCTTCTAAGCCATCAAAGGACTTTAGATTTATGGATAAGTTGAAGACTACATTTGCTCATAAGTAGAGAGCCAAGCTGAAACTGGGAAACTGTCCTTGAACATCTAGGACACTGTGGAAGAAGGGAGAGGCTAACTCCACAGTTGTTAGCCTGCTTTGGTTTGAGACATTTTGTACCCTTATTCAAATGCTCTCCAGTTGATTTCCATCTGTCTAAGATGGGAACAGTAATCTTTGCCTCTGGTTGGGGAAGGAGCACACAGAAACATTTCCTATCAGTTTCTTTTGCTTCCTTTCTTACTAGAAATATTGAGAAAATACCTTGGGTTTAGTAAGTTTTTTCAAAAACAAGTAGGAGTAGAAGTAAAGTTCAGAAAAAGACCCAGGGTACAGCTGTATGGTTATAGTTTCATAATAATCACTGCAAAATGAAAAATAAGCTCAATGGTAGACTCAAAGAGGAAAAATTCAACTTAATAAATGATGGTCAAGTCCTTTTTTTCCCTCTCACACATTGAGATCTAGAGAACTAATAAGGCTAATGCTGAGGAAATTATGTTGCCCATAAGAAATGTCTTGAGTTTTAAAATTTTTAATTATTATTTTAGTTTCACAAAGTTGGGAAAGGCTAAGAAACATTGGATTAACAATGAAAGAAAGAAAGAGAAGAGGTTCACCCAGTTATTAAAGGATAAGTAGACACCTGAGTGTCGTTATACTGTGCCAGGCAACATGTGCAAAAGATGGTCTCCAAGAAAAACAGTAGAAAAGAGATATGAAGAATCTGTCCTTTGTACTGTTTTAAAATATCACAAATTACAGTTACTTATTAACAAGTAGCATTCTTGATTGTTTGACTAGAACTCCTTTATCCCCTATTTAGCGCCAAGAGTAAGTCCTGCTTACCTCTTTGATGAGTAGTTTCCAAATTGGTGTGATTTCAACATCAATAGTATTAGGCCCACATATTAACCTCCTATAGGGAGAGATCATAGATCAGTCAGTTACAACTAATAAAAATGAAGCTCATTTTTCACTCATTCGAAAAAAGGCCTATTCACTTTCTCCCAGTCAAGGTAAGCCTCCCTTGTTACATAATATCTCCATCCTTCTCAAAATAACTGAGTGGGGGAGGAGGGTTCCCAAGGACAAAAACAATAAACATGATCATATTGCATCTACTAAATTAGATTCTTCCTGAGGTCTAAATATTTCCCTGATGGCAATTTGGGTATTTAATATTAGTGGTTGCCTAATTCAAGTAAGTTTCCAGATTGGCACTCTCTCAACTCTGTCCCCAACTGTGGCCCTGTGGATGTGGGATGGAGAGATCATTGCAAGAAAATAGTTTTACTAGTAAGAAGTACTGGACCTAGCTTTCTACTCCTGTTTAGTTCTGGGAAGCTGCAGAATTTATTTTGATGTGAGCAAAAAGATGTCGGGATCTCAAAGACAGCTCTATACACAAAGTTATACACCCTTTAACTGAAAACCTAGAGGTATATTTCTTAGATTATGCAGAGCAAGGACCCTTTATGAGCTATTTTGCTGTTGGGAACACTGACCACGCTCTCTGTGCCTCCTATGTAGATATTCAGATCAAGTAGCTTGGCCAAATGTATTAGAGCAGTGTCTCCTGAGATTTAGCATTCATACACATGACTTCCTGATCTTGGTAATGTGAAGATTCTGATTCAGAGGGATGATGTGTGGTCTAAGATTCTGCATTTCTAACAAGCTTCTAGGTGATGTGGATGCTGAAAGGCTCTGGGTCCCTTCAAAGTACTGGAAAATGGGGGTGCAGGGGAATACGAGTATCACAGAAACTTAGGACCAGCAAGGTCTTTCCAAAGTCCTCCTCCCCTTTTTAACAACTAGGGAACCAAAGCCCAGAGATGAGAAGTTCCTTGCTCAAAACCACACAGTGAATTACTGATAGACTTATTCAACACTGTGCTCTTCCTCAGCCTGGTTCCTCTGCCCTGGAACTGCTTTGGAATCATGGAGCTGCAGTTCTTGCACAACAGTTTCTGCTGCTCTGCAATTATTATTCAACTATGTGATCTTGGCATAAAATATATTTCCTGATTACAACCAAAACTGGTTCAACCCCATTATTATAACCTTGAGAAGCTCTGTGTAGAGTAGAAAGAGGACTAAACCTGTGAGACTCAGCTCTTCTATCACCTCCCATCCATGTGACCTTTGCTCAGGCCATCGAACCTCTGTGAGCCTCAGATTTCTCATGTATTATGTTGGAATGATGAGGATGTTCATTCTACCTCCCCCACAACGCTGATCTGATGAAGCAAGAGAAGGTATGTGCATGCATTGAATTTAATAATACTGAATAGAGCATTACAAAGTTTTCTGATATTGACCAGCTAAGATAATGATTTGCCAGGCTCTCTATTTGGCTGATGGTAACCATCCTCTTGAGCTGATGTAGAAAACAGTAGGCATGGTACCTAATCTCTTGTTCTTCTCTTGTTAGACCTGATCCAAATTTCAGATGTATCTTGGCAGAACTGAGCCAGTCTTCCAAAGAACTGAAATAATAATGAGAAAGACCTATTTAGAAATAATATTTTTGAGATAAGTTTCTCTGTTTCAGATGAAATTACTGAAATGACTTACCCAATTTTCTGGAACTGTCCTTCTAAGTTGTTCCAAACATATCTTATTTTTTGCACTTTTATACATCTCACCTGCAAAAGAAAAGTACTAAGAAAGTCTCTCGTGTAGGGATCAGTAAATACATAGCAGTTTGGTGGCTAAAGAAGTGCCTGCAGAAGAAGCAAAAATAGAGCTCTAATACACTTCTTTAAGATTATCCTTTCCTAACTTACTGCAACTTTCCCTGCTACACAAGTGGCATTCTTAGGAGTTTTCATTCAGTCGAAGTGTATCATGTGTGGGCTTACTATGCAGATGAGTATATATGATAAAACTCTGTCTCTGTGTTCCACTAGGTTATTGATAACCTAACAAAGGAAGAAAATCTGTTACAAAAGTGAAAACTATACCATACAGTCCAATATATATATATGTCAAAGAAATAAAAATATGATCAAGTAGGATGTATGGTATTGAAATGCCGTAGAAATGTTGAGCGGGCAGATGGCTGAAGGCATCATGGAAGTGATGGCATCCGAGCTGCAGCCTTGAAGGGCTGAAAGACTTCTGCCCAGATAAGAAGGAAAGAGGGCATGTCGAAGAGATTCTGCACAAGTCGGTTGTGAGGAGGGGCAAATGAGTGGGTCTACTTGACTGCAGACTGGAGAATGAGGCTGGAAAGATAAATAAAGATCAGAGTGTACAGTTTTATTTTTTTATTTTTTAAATTTTTTTTTCAACGTTTATTTATTTTTGGGACAGAGACAGAGCATGAACGGGGGAGGGGCAGAGAGAGAGAGGGAGACACAGAATCAGAAACAGGCTCCAGGCTCCGAGCCATCAGCCATCAGCCCAGAGCCCGACGCGGGGCTCGAACTCCCGGACCGCGAGATCGTGACCTGGTTGAAGTCGGACGCTTAACCGACTGCACCACCCAGGCGCCCCCAGAGTGTACAGTTTTAAATGCTAGGGTGAAGTATCTAGGACTTTGTCTTATGGGCAACGGACTTTCAAAGAAAACTATAGAAGAGACTGTGAAACAAAATTAGGCTGGCAGCAGGTTCTAGAAGAGAGTGAGGAGGGTTTTGCAAGAAAATGTTCTCCAGGACGTGAGCGTCCGATGTCAGCAGTGAAAAGGAAAGGTAAGGTTAACGCTTATGGCAATTATGCCTTCTTGTTTCTGATTTCTTTAAGCAACTGTATATGTGAATCTGAATTTCCATCAACTGGAGACCTAACTGAACACAAAGAGATATAGTGCCATGCTGTTATGGGGCAATAGGTATAACCTCCTTTTGCCCATTGGAATTAACTGGAAGCTTTAAAATACTAATGCCAGGGTCTCACCCTCAAACATTCTGATTTCACTTGTCTGGGGTGCAACCTAGGCATAAATATGTTTAAATTTCCTCAGATAGTTCTAATGTGCAGACAAAGTTGAGAAACAGTGTTTTCCTTTTATAGCTACTCTGAGAATTGTGTTCTTGAGAAATTCAAGTAAATTTCTCTGCACCATAGTTTCCCCATGAATAAACTGAGGCAATTGAGCAGATTATCTCTAATTTCCACTGCACTCTTCTGGGTTTGTTCTATACCGCTGAATAGTACAGTCAGTATAATCGTTAGATAAATTCTAGAACTGAGAAGAGTATACAGCTGAAACCTAAAAAGTGTTCAATACATGTTTTTTGGTAAAGAAGTGAATGAATGCTTTTACAACCACATGAACATCTAGAAATAGAGGTGAAATCCCTAAGCTCCAAGACCCGGGGTACACCAAATCAATCTGAATCCTATTCGATAAATATATGTGCATGCACACGAGTGTGCACACACACGCGTGCATGCACACACACACACACACATTCATAGTTACCCAGTGAGAGCATTAAATGCTGTATATTTTATTTTATAGAATCGATTTGTTTCAATGAGATCGGTTGCAAAGTAACTTTAAAAAAATAAATCCTATTTTCCAATGGATTTTCAGTATAAAATTGGAGTGCACTGCCACTGGGAGTGATTCTTCCTTCACAAGCTGCAAGTTGGAGAGAGGAAAGAGTGTCTGAAGGAGATTGGTTGCCATGGTCCACCTTGCAACCTCACGTTTCCTGTCTCACACTTGCCTGTCTTGTTCAGTCCCTACAATTCTGCAGAGCTGGACTGTAATCACAGCTTGTTGGGTACGTGGGCTTTTCACACATCATCTTTAGTCTTTTTCATCAATCTCTGGTAGACAGATATTATTCTCACCGTCACTTCATCCCTGAAGTTCACTTTAAGTCTTTTGCCCAAGATCGCACCTATTAAGTAGGGATTGAATTTGAACTCAAACCCAACTGGCTCCAGAGTCCAGTCTCTCAAAGGATATGATATTCAAGCTAGTCTCAGAAGAAGGTATGAAAAATCCCATAGCTGCCAGGATTCAAGTTGAATTAAGTGAGGCTGCCTCCTTTGTTCCTTCTGTGGGTTCACAAATCTGGGTTAGAACATTTTTAAAGGACAAACTGTGGGAGGATATGAGGCCCCTGCTCAATTAGAGAACCTAAATCCAGAGGATGTGAAGGCACAGACTGAGATTGAGAAGCTTATAAAACATAACAAACACAAAACATCAGCAGATGAAGGCAGTAATAATGAGGAATAAAGAGGTTCCTACTAAGTTTTACCTCAGGTCAGAAAATAGAAGATTCCATTATCTCCTGTTAATTTCTTCTGTTTTAAAAAAAATTGTGTATTTATTTATTTCGAGAGAGAGAGAGAGAGCACGAGTGAGGAAGGGAAAGAGAGAGGGGGAGAGAGAGAATCGAAAACAGGCTTTATGCTGTCGGTGCAGAGCTGGATGCAGGACTCCAACTCGGGAACTGTGAGATCATGACCTCAGCTGAAACCAAGAGTCAAAGGCTTAACCAACTGAGCCACCCAGGTGCTCCTCCTGATAATTTATTGAGGCCATCCCTCACAGAGTGAGAAGAATGACCCCATCAGAGACCTTTTGAATTATCTTTAAAATTCTCCTAGCAGGAATCATCTGTGCCTGGAGTGTCTCTGCTTCCCTCCTCACCTTCACAGGCTCTGGACACCAGGTAAGAGGATATTAAGCACACTATTTGCATGGGGTGGAGTTTATTTGCCCACTTCCTAGAACTTCAGAGCAGGAAACTGAAATTAAGACATCAGGAGTGTGTGGTAGGGTGATTTTCAGCTTTCTACTTGGAACCAGGAAGCCTGCCCCTTCCCAGGCTTCCTGTTCCTCATTTCTTGTTGGAACACGTTGTGAGAGTCCTGTTTAACAGGTTAAGCACTGGGTTTTACTTTTGCACACAATCCCAGGATAATAGTTAAGTCTCCTCGTAGCTGGCTTTTATAAACCTGACTGAGCAGATCTCCAAACTCTCCCTGAATGGTTTGAATGGTTATCATGTTGGTATTGTTGCCCTTAAAGCTCTCGCCGTCAGTATCGTCATGGCTGAAGCCTGTGGCTTCTCCTCTGTTTTCATTAGAGTTTCAGTCCTTTATGAAAGTAGCACATGACAGTCCACAAATCACCCTAATGTCCATCTTCTCATCTTAGGTGTACAATGGCCTGAGGAACAGGCACAGAAGGGGTTATTGCTCTCATTTTATAAATAAGAAGCTCAAGGCTCAGAGAGACAGTAATTAGCCAAACCCCCTAAGCCACATGCTGGTAAATGAAGATACCACCCCGGTGCCACAGGTTTCCTTCTTTATGTTTATTTGAGCATTTCTTCATCTTTTTGCCCACTTATTAAAGAAGCTGGAGGTCAATAATAACCTGAGGGCAGGTCCCTAAGGTTGATTTGGGATGCCTACTTTTGCAGGTGAATAACCCCCTGACAGATTATGCAATCTGTTGGTTGGAGGTGTTTGACCTCTTTTGTTTTTGTTTGTTTGGGCAATTAAGACACCTGGGTGATAACAACTGACAATAGAGAAACTGCTCAGCAATCAAGTTTTATTATTTTAAAAAACTGACCTTGCGCTCATAAAACTAAGTTAAACAGCTGTCCAACACACATGAACTTAAGAGAAAAACAGCCTGTCTTATAAAATACATTTCTAATATGAATGTTAACCAGCCATAATCCAAGTAGTACTAATTTCAAATGGAGAAGAGGGAGTAACCCAAACACATTTGAATGACAGAACTCAATGGGGCGCCTGGGTGGCGCAGTCGGTTAAGCGTCAGACTTCAGCCAGGTCACGATCTCGCGGTCCGATCTCGCGGCCCGCGTCGGGCTCTGGGCTGATGGCTCAGAGCCTGGAGCCTGTTTCCGATTCTGTGTCTCCCTCTCTCTCTGCCCCTCGCCCGTTCATGCTCTGTCTCTCTCTGTCCCAAAAATAAATAAACGTTGAGAAAAAAAAAATTGAATGACAGAACTCAAAATAAGTTCATTTTGCAGACATAAGGAAGTCCCTGGGATGTTTCTGGGTCATCATCCCATTTCATAGATAATCATACAGAGGGCTTGATTCTACTCAGAGCTAACATGTACTGAGTATCTACTACTACGTATCTCACACCATAAAGATTTTTGTGTTCCTTAATTCATTGAATGCCATCAGTGGATATTAGAGGTAGGCATTATCATCATCATTTTATACATGAGGAAACAGAAACTTGGCAGAGTTTAGTAACGGATCCAAGGCTCTACAGTTTAGAAGGATGAAGCTGAGATTTGAACTCAGTTCTGTCCAGCTCCAAAGTACATGTTCTTTATAATGTTCTATGTATACTGTCGAGGATTGGTGTGGTGGAGGATCTGAACTTAACCTTAAATTTTGGGGAGAGAATTAAATTTCTTTAGCATTAGCAGTTAGCATAAATGTACTAACCTTTAGGTCTGGCTTTCTGATGGCTCTATTTATGATGTCCTCCTCATCTGTAATGAGAGGGTGGTCAGGAGTGACATCAAACGTGCTGTTTAATGATGACAAGTAGATCCACATTACCTTTTTCCATGAGTAAGTGTGGAATTCATCCTGAGGAAATAGACACCAAAACCCCATGAAGTTGAGAGAAGTCATCAAGCTAAAATTCAACCTGAGAAACATCATTTTCATATAATCCTGCAAGTTTATGGACTTAATAAACATTCTACACAAAGTTGCATGCCCATGAAAGCTGGTAGATATAAAGCCTTGAAGGAAAAAAAAAACCTATGGTCATTTATTGAGGAATCTGGGTGTCAATATGAGGCAATGGCATATATAACAAAACTCAAGAGGAGGGAGGTAAATTCTTAGCAAAGAGCCAATTTCTTGCTACAACCTTCAAATCCATGAGGCCACAGTCAGATGCAAAACTTTACAAACAAACAAGCACTCAAAAGGGTCTGTAGGTCCCTGAGGTTGAGGACACCAGGTCAATTAAACCATCTCAGGGTTTCTAGGCTTAACTTCAATTCTACCTCTTCCAGGAAAGCCCCTGTAATACTGTCTTGCCAGGGGGAGGGAGGGTCTACCACTATACTCACTCCAAAAGATCCTAGCTGCCCCTCTCTTGTGCTCCTAATCACTTTCTGCCATGTATTCTCCTTGTTTGTCTAGGCCATCTGAAAGGTAGGAACCATGTATTATTGTCTCATATATCCCCATCCATTTGATGAACTGTGACCTGCCCAATGAGAGTGAATGGATGTTTTTACATGCCTGAATGTGTGGATTGAAGGTGCCCAGGGGTAAGTGTCAAAAGGTTAGCACAGGTGGGTTCAAGGCGGCACCTTCCTGCATGACCCTAACTGAAGCCACTTCCTTCATATTCACTGCCGATTTCATCAGAGAATAAAACTAGAGTGAGCAGCACTGGGTTAAGTAACAGGTACCACAATGGTCCCTTAGAGACTGATGTGATAATAACTGTGGTTATTATCTGAATGGGTAAATGCTATGCATAAAAGCCACTAGGACACCTGGTACACCTCAGGAGCGAGGAACGACAGTAAGGGAAGTCAAGCCTGGGAAACAATTTAATGCCTAAAGAATATAGGTCAGAGCTGGGAATTGTCTCCACCACACCCACATTTGCCAAGAAGAGTATCCCAGCTGACGTTGCAAAAGGACAGAAAGGAGAAGATATATTGTTGTTTGGAGCTAATCTCTTACATTGATTCTCCTCCAGAGAAGCCCTCCTCCATGCCTTTGCTCCTTCAGCTTCCTTAGCCTGGAAAACACTTCCTCCTCTACTCTCTTTAAGCTTTCACGGGGCTAGATCCAAAGCATCCTGTAGGACCCAGCTCAAAATTCACATCATGAGAACTGTTCTAATTTCTCTTGGTGATATTTCCCCTAAACTATAAGGTTACTTGAAATTCTTACCACATTCTACCTCATTGCATTCCTCTTTACCTGCCCACCTTATCACTCCTCTTGGACTGTGGGCAGGGACTGTGCTTGATGGGTATCTGTGCTCAGCCAGATCTAACACAGCTTCTGAGAGACAGACAGAGACTGAGACAGAGGAAAACAGAGAGGTAGGGTGGAGGAGCAAGAGGGGAAAGCAAGGCAAAGGATGCGGGGAATAAAGGGGGGTAAGATAAGGGAAGAGAAGGAAAGGAAAGAAGAAGGGAGGGGAGAGGAGAAGAAAAGGAGGGGAAAAAACAATAGAAATTTGAAGTTAATTCTAAAAATCAGTAAACTTGACTATTACCCTCATTTAAAAAAAAAAAGTCAAATTAAACCAGATTTGCATAGAGTTACCTTCAGAGCCCAAAAATGACTCAATTTCTAACGACTGAGCCACTGAACTTGGGCATGTTCTAGGTATTGTGAGATAGGCAACAACTCCATAGGACACACCTTGACACTGACATAGTTCACCATTATATGGCTACACCTTTGACCACTTATGATGTTGTTATGAGTGAGTTTCCTCTGAATATCAGATAATAATGAAAATAGTTAACATTTATTTAACACTTATGTTCTAGGCACTCTATCAGCGAGGCTCAGACGAGGCCAGTCTGGTATGAGTAGCAAGGCAAGAAGCGGGACCTGAAGCCAGGTCTTCCCATTCTAAATCTTGGCTACTTCCTCTTTGTTTCCACAAGTTGTCCATGGTTTCTGTGGCTTATGTATGAAAATTACCTTGAATTCTATACCATATAACAAATAGCATCCAGTTTCTCACAATCTCTGCTCTCTTGGCAGCAGAGAAGCCGATTCCTAAAACCAAGCTGTCACTCTTTGGCCCTGTGTGACAGCAAACAGACCTCTAGACTATAATGCCTAAAAAGGGAACGGCAAAGTGGAACACTAGAACTCCCAAGCTCTTTGAGGCCCGTGGTGATCCAATGCGCAAACTGTATGCCTTAGACTGGTAAAGCATGAGACCAAAATTCATCTACAGGCCTCCATCTTATTATATAGCCTGTACCATAATTAAATCAAAGGTGTTTAGGTATCTGTGCCTTTAAGTTTATTTCTTACCCCCAAGCCCTATAACCCACAATTCTATATAATGCAAAGTACAGTTCAATAGGTTAAGGAAGGATACTTTAGTGAGACCACCATTTTTCTTACAGTAAGGCAATAATATTGACTTTTCTCTTGCTTATTACTATGTTAAAGACTGTAAAATCATTCATATTTTTAAAGAAATCTACCCAACTTTTTAAGAAAAAAAAAAAGGCAAAGAAATGGAGGGAAAAGTGTGTCAGGGTGAGGTGGTCACTCCAGTCAACATCATCCACGTCCCCTAGTTTTCAGTTTGGTGTTACCCAGAAACAAAAGAACACAGGCTCCTTCCTGAGCCTCAGTTGTGAACCATCTTGAAAATCATGGCAACTCTCTGAGCCGAATTTTTCTGCATCTGGCCAGTGGAGATGAGAATACCACATTTCATGGATGCTTGGAGGATTAAACGCAATAATACATAATGCATCTGGTCCAAGGGCTGGCCAGTAGCTGAGTGTAACAAATGCTCCTTGGCCTATGGCTCTGGGCCTCATTTTCTGCAGCATGTTGCTTCTGAGCTCTTTCTGTAAATAGGAACTTAATTTTCCCTTGGAGGAATTGTTGAGAGTCTCTGAGAGTCTTCCAATTTATTTTTCCTTCTAAAAAAGAAACATTTTTGGGGCGCCTGGGTGGCGCAGTCGGTTAAGCGTCCGACTTCAGCCAGGTCACGATCTCGCGGTCCGTGAGTTCGAGCCCCGCGTCGGGCTCTGGGCTGATGGCTCGGAGCCTGGAGCCTGTTTCCGATTCTGTGTCTCCCTCTCTCTCTGCCCCTCCCCCGTTCATGCTCTGTCTCTCTCTGTCCCCAAAAAAATAAAATAAACGTTGAAAAAAAAATTAAAAAAAAATAAAAAAGAAACATTTTTTGCCTGGAAATGGCTATTTCCTCTTTACCTCTGTTTCCCAGCTCTCTCAAGTAGGTAAAGATCCTTAAGAGACTTAACTGCACCTGAGGAGCCAACCACTTTAAATAACTGCTTTGTAATGCAAATAATCCAAACTATTTGCCTCGCCAATCTAGACTTTTAACACCTCAAGTCTCATTGAGGGGGCTTTACCTTCTCTTTATCAAAAGAGAATTAATCAGCTAAATTCTAAGAGCAGAATTTAAAATATTTCAAGAGCGCATTTCAAAGAACTGAATGTAACAGATGACCTCAGTTTGCCCTGGAAAGAAAGGTACAGGGAGGAAAACCGGGCATTTTTGATTTCCTGTGGCCTTGCCCTTTCTGAACTTTGAAATGCCAGGCTAACTTTCCTAGTTGCACCAAGTGAGTGGCCTTGCTTATCTTCTTACAACCTTTTGTTATAAGCATCTTACCTGTTGGAATTTTATTTTTTTATTTTATTTTTTTTTTAATTTAAAAAAAAAATTTCTTTTTTCAACGTTTATTTATTTTTGGGACAGAGAGAGACAGAGCATGAACGGGGGAGGGGCAGAGAGAGAGGGAGACACAGAATCGGAAACAGGCTCCAGGCTCCGAGCCATCGGCCCAGAGCCCGATGCGGGGCTCGAACTCACGGACCGCGAGATCGTGACCTGGCTGAAGTCGGACGCTTAACCGACTGCGCCACCCAGGCGCCCCACCTGTTGGAATTTTAAAGTAGTGTAATGGTCACTTTAAGTTCACACCAACGCTGTGACTCACCTCCTTGTGCAGGAGTTTGCTACCCAAAATGTACTCCTGAGATTGTCTTAAGAATTTCTTCTTAAGTAACCCATTGCAAAGTTCCAAAAAGACACCAGCACTCCAGTACTTTTCACTTGGAGATGGATACATTGCAACGCTAAAGAGCATGAACTCTCTCACTAAGGTGAAGTGCTTAGAGGATTATGGATAGATAAAGCAATAATAACATTTCTCAAGTTATTTCTAAAACACCATGCTGCCTTTGCAGACCCATGACTTGGGCAAAATACTGTTCTTTTTATATTTAAGTGGTCCTTTTTTCTTTTCTTTTTCCCCTGTTGGCCAGACCCACTGATACTCTTGACACCTTGACCTCATATTCCCAAAGTGGCTTAGCTGGAAAAAGTTGACATTGGTTAGAATGTAGGATTTAGTTATAAAACAGAGAAAGAAAGTTCTAAGCATTGGAAAAAATCTTACACAAAATTATTGTCTCAGTACTCCTGGAACATGTTCACCAAAAAAGGGGATGAGGTGTGGGGGGGGGTGTGGACAAAGCAGGGAAGTTATATGACACAGCAAAGGCTGTGTCTATATCTGTGTCAATATCCTGAACAATTCAGCATACATTTTTGGAAAGACTGAGTGCTTTGTTTTTACGATCATTTTCTCAGGGAAGAGGGAGTAGTGAGTTACCTGGCTCATCATCTGAAATATCTGGAGATGCAGCGTGTAGCAGAAAGTAACAAAAAGTTAAAGTTGGTTTTAAAAAGTGTGTAGTAACCAATGTCCAGGAAATGACTCCATGCCAGGCACAGATTCATCAAGGCACTTTACATGTATTTCTCATTGATTTCTCATGGTAATGAGGCAGATACTATTGTTAGCCACTCTTAACAT